TTTTTTACTGTATTATTACCAAATCTTGTATTCAGTCTTTTTGTCAGCTTGTTTTCTTTCAATTAGCACAGATCTGAGCTCAGATTTTGAGCCAACATTGCCAAAATTACCCAGAAAATGATGTTTTTTCACTTGTAAACTATGAGGCCTATATCAACCAGCTCCAAAAAGAAACAAAACCTGTGCTAACTGAAAGAAAACAAGCTGATAAAAAGATCAAAATCCAAGATTTGGTGATAATATAGCATAATGAGAGTGATTTTTAAAAGACTGGTCATTTCTGAGCGGGAACACTAAATTAAGGAAAGGATTTTTAGCACAACTTTTAACCATGTTTCCACTATGAAGCACCTTTAGTTGTTCAGTGGATGTTGAAGGTTCTTCATGGAGCCGTCGATGCCAATAAAGAAGCTTTATATCGCTGGAGAACACTGGGTCAAGTGAGGACAACACATTCATGTTACTTGACTTCATGTAAAATGAACCTCACAGCCCTAAAAATACGAATATTGCACTGAATAGAGGTTTCATGGTTGCCATGGAGGGTCCATTAGCTCTCGTCGGCCCACGCTCGCTCTTAAATCTGCTCCGGGAACAGCGGAGAATCATCTTCAGGACAGCAGTACATCAGTGAACCTGCGCACAACACACCGGCTGTCACGGGACGGATGGGCTGTGTAATGCATTTAGTCCTCTCTGAGGTATAATGGGAATACAAGCTGCGATTGGCTTGAGGTGTTGAAGCACGAACCACCTACACAGTCCTATCTGCTGCTATTCAGCCATCATTTAATCCTGACACTAATCTGCACAGAAACAGACCAGTGCCAATCCTTTAAGAGCCACCGGTACGGGCCTCACGATACTCTGCCATCTTAAAATGAGTGTTTGTTGAACAATGGCTCATCAGTGTTAAACATCGAGTCTGGGGTTTAAGCGCAGCTGACGGTTGAAGAAGACTTTGCGGTCTTCACTTTAAAGAGATCTCGACACAGAAGCTTATGCAAGCTATTGCATGTGGGAGTCGGTATTTGAGGCACAAAACTAGATTTAGATAATCTCATATAGCACTTCCCACACACTGAATCCATAGTTTTGTGGCCAGCGCTGACCTGACACTCGCTGCACAAACCAGACATGTTCTCATGATTATGTGCCGCCTGTTAATTTCAGTACGAGTTACTGCAGAAACACAGCGCTGATCATCTTAGCGCTAGATCAGTTCTGTCTTGTTTTCCAGCACAAACATCTAAACATCCCTAAATCAAGACACTTCAGCTTGAAAAGCAAAATGACTGAAGATATGAAGTCTTGTTTTCTGAAAAAAATATCAAAATGAAGTGAGTTTATGATTAAAACAAGAAGAAATATCTGCCACTGGAGTCTTGTTTCCCATTTAATTGATTTTCTGAAAAAAGTATATCAAGAACTTTGCTGTACAGACAGTAAAAGCCCAACACAAAACTAGAAAGCTAAATAAGTCAAGGTGAAGTCTATTCAAACAAAAAGTGAAACACATGGCACCCATCAGGATGTGCTTCCAGCGCTATATTTGCCTGGTTTTAGTGTTTGGATCTATAGCCTGACATCATATCACACGGCATGAGCGTCATATGCTGTTAGCACATTCTGATGAGTTATTATTTCCATAAGATGTGCTACCTGCATTTTTAACACTTCACACTGTTATAGCACACCGACAGCTTCTCTCGGGTCTCATGACACCGTCACGCGTGTTTCACCGTTTAGCTGCAGGTCGCACACGTGTTCAGAGTCTCAGCTGTTTCCTCACAGAGATGCATTCAGTGCTGCATGTGTCACGGGACGAAGACGATGAAGTACTAAATAGTGCTATATATATATATATA